AACTAGAAAAAAATACATCATTATCAAGCGCAATTAACGTATATTCCAATATACAGGTTGTCCCGGGAGGAAATGTTACAATTTCATCAGTTGGTTCTTGGGGCAATTTTAAGTAAAAAATATTATATAAACATGGGTCTGATTACTGAGATATGTAGGCGTCTGCATTTGGATAAAAATAGCAAAAAGCTGATTTTAGATGACTATTTATTGATAATTGTGGTAAATACCAAATACAAGCACACCAAATATCAATATATACTACTCCAGAATGTTTTCAAAGTTCCTACCTCCGTACTTAAATACCATTTTTACTTGTTTCTCATATGAGAGAACTCCTGGGGAATATGAATTATACATGTATCTGTAAGAACGTGTTGAGAATAAGCTGTAACGCTGTTCTATTAATTACTTCCTAACAAAAAAAACTGAAAAAGTGGTATCTCTTTATATTTGTCACGAACGATTAAAAATATTGTTGTAGTTTGAGCTGTGTTTTAAATAAAACACTATATAAAATTATATTTCAACGCAAAGGTTAATGTCCATTATACTCGTAAGCAGGGAGAAAGCACTTACCCAAATATTATATTATGTTTAAGAAGTACAGAAGTAAAATAACTGGACTTGGGCGCTATATGAATATAGTTTACGGTCTGATCGCCTAGCTATTATTGCGTGACTGGGTATAAATGAATATTCAAGACGCTATTCTACAAATATAACGTCCCAGCGAATTTACAATCAATCAACTACACCTGAATATACAGGTGGACCTTGAAATTAAAGTGTGGTGTTTGACAATATTTTGAGGTCTAGTTCTGTACCCTAAATATTATCTGTGTAGCAAAGCACGTTTTCGCTTCCACACTTTCCCTTGGGTTCACGTCAGAATACCCGCCTAATTTCGTTTGATATGGGAGTGAGTACACTTGAACTAGGATCTGAGACTCCTCTGGCCTGATCATGTCTCTCTTCGTTAAGCAGTCCCCTCCAGAGTTTATCCAATTCCAATACATCAAAGTATCTCTTATATTAGACGGGGATTTGCTGTTTCGTAGACATGTGGTGTGGGGTGATAGAGCAGGGTTGATACCTTAATGCGATGTAGTTTAGATAACATAACACGCTAGTTCCCGGCTAGTAAACTTTTTAGCGACATCGAACGTTATGGCGGAACTCAGATGTTTATTTTGTACGAATAATCAATTTTTATATTCTGTTTGTTCTGTCGGAAGTCTTAAAAGAATTTTCAAACCGCATTCAAGAAAGGAATTTAAATGGGGCGGTAGGAAAACTAATGAAATATTGTGAATTTGTTGGAACAATGCTTTCTTGTTGTCGGCAGATAATTGTTCACAAATAGTTGGTTCTTAAGAACGTTGTTTTTATATTTGTAAACACAAGATTCTGTGTTCAAATATTTGTGACAATTAAATCATCTGAAGACTAAGTTAAAGATAACAGTTAGTTCTAAAGAGCTATGAAATTTTTATCATTGATATCAAAACGTAGACTAGGAGGCCAAGGAAAGGGGGTGATAAATGTGTCACAAGGAAACTATTATAAACCAGCATCAAGCGAAGAGTGAAAATCTAAAAACGATATTTTATAAATTTAGAAACGTGTGGCAGTGTTGCATTCAATTTCTCTTATTTAAGCCCTTTTTCAAATAATATACAGAGCTTTCTTTGAGCATGGCTGTTTCATGGCTTATAGTACCTTGTAATCAGTTATAAGTTTACCAACGTAAGTATTTCTGAAACGTCGGGAAACGTCTACCAGACTACACGGCGCTACAACCCAGAAGACAGCAATCTTCAGACTCACCGCCTTATATTAACCTCGTACACATGAAGCGTTATACAGTTTAATTTTTTGACTTTAACAGACGCTGCACGTAGACTTCAGCTTGAAGAAGTCGTGAATTTCTGTAGGTTTAAATATTCTAGTGATCTAGAATAGGCAATATTGCCTCCAGTTTATTGAACACAACCAGGAAGCTCACTTTATGGTCAGATATGTAGCGAGAAT